CCATGGCAAATAATTATTAATATGCCGTCCCTTCCCCTACACAATTCGCTCAGTCGACTTCATGGGATGAAGTTCACTTGTAAGGGGGTGAATTAGGGAGAGTAATATTATTATAATTATATTATTTATACGGTCATTTTAAATTATAATGGTGTTAGGATTTTATTTTACATACAACCTTTATCCAGTTAACAGCAGGTACTAGTTAATATTAGCCGATAGGTACAAAAATGTTATTTTCTTAAAAACTGTTACACTTACCTTGTGGTTTTAAATGGACAATATGTTTTTGCAAATACCACCTTCTGCTTTTTGTGAGGAATGTAATGTAGTTTAATATCTCAGTACATCACATTTTCAAAAGTTTTCTATAAATACTCGTAAACTGGTCCGATTAGAGTTAAAGCAAAATCAATTAAAATTAATTGCAAAAGGGTCATTAAACAAAGTAATAAATTCTTAAAACCTTGAGAGCGATAATTTGCATCTGTAGGTAAAAGAAACCTTTGTAATACAATCATTAGAAACAGAGTAAAACACAAAAAACAATCGAAACACACACGAGTACCATAAATACCTTTGCTGTACACATCCGGTAATAAATTGCCCCTCAGCACGGAGAATTTTAATGGATAAAAAATCAGAAAAATATACGGAATTTAAAAATGACGCATAACATTGAAAAACATTGTTCAATTTAGAGGAATGGTCGACACACTGTCCAGACTTGCGTGCAGGGTTGGCCTTAGCGTGTATCCTCACATCCACATTGACTGTGCACTTTTGACAATATATAAAAAACTATAATGATCATTTGATTTGAAATTAGTTTTTTTTCCTCACACACATGTATAATTATCTATTTTATACTCAGATTACATAACGAATAAGTAGGCATATCAGTCTACCGAACGGATATAATTCCATATCAATTCTAGTAATGATATGAAAAACAATCAGAGTTCATATTTAATGACCAGTCTAGTACTACTATTTTTTAAAATTTTAAAAGTGGGAATTATATTTTTTACTGAGGCCCTTAACCTGGGTACCAGGCCACAGAGGACATAAGGGCAACGAAGAGGCTGATTTACTAGCAGGAGAAGGAGCCTCAAAGACTCTTATTGGCCCAGAACCCTTCTGTGGTGTCACAAAAACAGCTATCAGAACATGCACAACATCGCCTAAACTCACTGAGCATCTACTAAGTCTTAATAGGTCTATTAACAGGGCATTGTAGGCTTAACAAATATGTATAATATCGATCTGACAGAAGAGACCTTGTGCCGATTTTGCCAGGAAACTGCAAAACTCATATTGTGCTACTTGTCGATATAATTAAAGCAAGTAGCTTATAAAATTGTTCTTATCCGCATTTATTTTTAAATATACAATTTGTAATGGGTTCTTTCAGTGTGATAGTTTTATTTTCCAAATTTCGACGTACCTACCTAAAGCGTGCCGCAGCCAAAATATGTTCAGTACTTGTACAGTTCTTAAATCATTTATTTACTAGCAATTTTAAAAAATCTAAATTTGTAGAAAGTAGAGATTTGTCAATTGAGTTATGGTAAAAAATCCTCAAGGGCAGCGATAGAATGGAATTTTTTAGCCCTATAGTTACTGAAAAAAAAACTGAATGCCTTAAGGTTGGACGTTTAATTGTGCAAAACAAAATCAACTCAAAAGGTACCCTACAAATATTATTATTTCAAACGTGCAATCGCAGTACATGAGGGACTCGGAAAAACAAATATCTGGTGTCGGGTGCCTTTGATCGGGTGCCGAACTAAAATAGTAAGGTTAGAAATCCAAGCGAGATGAGTACTGCATAGTGTCAGCGATGCAAACTTAATCCAATACATTTTTCTGACAAGAATAACAGAAAGGTATTATTTAAAACGGTACTTCTCAAGCGGTGTTTTATGGAAATATACTCTACTAATCTTTAAAAATATGTAAATATTACCCCCGATAAATAGATTAAAACATTTTAAAATAAAATAGAATTAAACACAAAGCCATTGTCATCATTTACCTCAGGATAACAGTTACTCCTTTGGCTAATACCGCAAAAGGTATTGAATTAAATCTAGAGGAAAACAGCAGACCGAAAATATATTTCACCAATTTTGAATTTCTGCTGTTTAACTTTAGATGACCAGCTCTTGAAGTTGGAGTCATGGTGACGATAAAATTCAAAACACATTCTATGCTTTGTGTATCTTTTTAATGGTCAAAAGGGTACATCGTTTCCCAATGACCTATGTCATAAAGGGGGAGGCCAGAATGAGTGCATACAACTACAGGGTGGTGCAAAATGAACGTTATGATTTAAATGCTTCGTAACTTTTTTATTTTTAAATAAATTTTCAACATTGTTCTATGAAAATCTAGCCTATTAATGGGAAATAATTTAAGCCTAAGCGTGAAAAACTACGTCTCGCAAATGTCGCCCATTTTCTGCTTTCTCTCATTATGAGATTGTCAATAAAATCGCGATTTTCTCTAGCTTTTCGCTGCAACGCAACAGCATAATTAAGCCGCTTTTGGTAGTCTGTCGGCCTTATTTCTTGCACCAGCTGGATTTTATAGGGAAACATGTGCAATGTGACAAAAATTCTTTGAAGAGACCTCCTTGATAACCCAAGTTGTGCCGTCTCCTCGTCGATGTTTTAGGACTCTCTTTCACGCTCTCCCGTACACGTTCAATATTTTCGCCGGTGCGCGCTGTACGTGGTCTTCCGGTACCAGGACGGTTCCTCACTGAACCTTGTTGCTGAAAATTAGCAACCAAGCGAATGATTGTTGGCGCTGAGGGTCCAACCCGTACATTAAAATGTCGGCGATACGCACGCTGCGTCAGAATAACTGACTTTCCGTTTGATAAATAAAATTCGATGATTTTTGTCCTTTGCTTTATGGTGTATTGCTCCATTTTAAATTCCCCAAGCCTTCTTTACAAGCTTCTGAAACAAAAGAGAAAATAAATTTATAAATAAAAAAGTTGTAAAGCCTTTAAATCATAACGTTCAATTGGAGCCCCACTGGAACATAAAAACCAGAATAACACATGGAGTAAATGATCCTATATTATCCATAGGATCATATTATATGATATTTCTCTTAACCTTCAACAGACTTCCAGGTCAACTGCAACTGGAATGAGGTAAATAAGGAGATAGAGAAATACTTGCTTAGCTGTTTTGTATCGTATAAGGATGGATCTAAAACTCTTGCGTACATAGAGTTAAACCCAAATGCGACATCATCATCTCACTAGGAAAACATACCACTGTATTTCAGGCTGAAATACATGCGATCGAATTGTGTGTACGAGAGAATTTAAGAAGGAAGTACATAAAACAAACCATCTTAATTCTCTTAGATAGCCAAGCAGCCTTATATGTACTTGATTCAAGTCAAAACTGGTCTGAAACTGCCTTGGAATACTAAAAACGATCTAGCAACCCACAATAAGGTGAAACTGTTATGGCTAGCAGGACACAAAAGGATCCAAAAAAGTGAAAAGGCTGATGAATTCCCCAAATAGGAATCGGAACTAACATACCAGTGCCCGATCATGTATTTGGGATAAGCAAAACCTCTCCTAGACCGGCAGTAAACAAATAAAAGGGGACACAGAATCAGTGAGCTCATGCTAAGGGGACCAAACTCAGGCAAGGCTACTGAGGTACTACAATTCGCAGGCCCTCAGATATCTACCATTGTATGATTACAAGAGGAACATTGCTTGCTGACACACCTTTACTTAATGATCCCATCACGTTTAGACTCTGCATGGAGGAGAAACGAACCTCATACCATGTGATCTTCAAACGCGAAGCTCTTGAAACACTTGATAGACAACTTATAAAAAAAAAACTAAAGGCACAGGACTCATCCAAACATAGTACCTGAATACGGGGAAAGCAGGCGGATTTTTATAACTATGCTCATTTTAGATACATATCGTTACCCTAATTCGCACAATATGTACATTTTTACTAATCTAACAGGTGACGGTAAAACAATAATTAGAGTGTACAAGCGTCGCAGTTACGACGTTTTATAAAATAATAAATAGTAATAAGAAATAGCTGTTTCCTTAGATGGAAGTTTTTTATTTGGTAAATTAGTCGCGTATTAACAAAATGGCGAATATTTTCGAATTAGGGTAAAGATATTTTCTTTTGAAATTCGATCGAGGTTGAAACACCTGTAAAGCTCTGTGTACCTGTCAAACGATTGACTAATTATCTAATCGCCAGATCTTCAAGTTAGATACAAGTTGCTATTGAAACACGAAACACCCCATACTCATATCTATTAATGGTAAAAGAGGTATTTACTAAAGACCTCTGGTGGATTTCTTGGGTCCATACTTTCTTTTGTATTTTTTTATGTGATTTGAGCGAAGTTGAAACAAATATCTCTCATCTACCGTGGTTAAAACCAAAAACTGGTAGCATGAATAATTAATTCAGGGGCAAGGAAAGCACCGCTTCCCTACACTTTGAGATTTAAAAATAAATATTTTTCAGTTTAAAATGCATAGAAATTAATATTAAATTAGGTACTATATTTTTTCTAAAACATTGCGTAAATGTACTAACAATTCATTGGTGTAATGTGTAAACGCACGCACCACCCATGAGAAAATTAATTGTGTAAACGCACACACCATATACTTCAAATCCGTCGGCGGAAGCGCGTCTTGAAAAAGCCGGATCATCTTACAATTGATTTCGCTTCGTGTTATTGGCCCTGCTTTGCCGCGACAGTTAGTCAGTCTGTTTGGGCACGTGAAATACCGTCGAGAGGCAGCGATTTTTACGTCGCCTTACGCATATTGCAATTCGCACCGCGAATCGACGTATGAGGAAAATCGTTGACTTCAGATAGATTTTGGTTTGTTTTTCGTAGTTGTTTTTTTTTTGTAAAATGGAGGAACTATGCGCTGTGTCTGTGAACAATAATAATGTGGTAAATTGTGTCTGTATTGTGTTCTCTTCATTGAAAAAAAGATTTTCAAGTAGAAATTTTGAAGAGAAAACGGACATTATTAATTCTAGTAGACTAAAGGATCCTATCAATTTAGAGACGATAGTAGAAAAATCAGCAAAGAAATTTACCAGGCATTTTCACGTAGGGTTCTATGAAAAGTATAAATGGTTAACCGGCTGCAAAACTTCGAAGAAATTATTTTGCTGGCCTTACCTACTTTTTAATATAGCCGAAAAACACATTGGAACTCAGTCGGTATTACAGACTTGAATAATTTTCACAAAAGTGTAAAACGACATGTAAATAGCAAATCTCATATGAGTGCTACAATTAAAGAAAAAACATTCAGGACCTATCGCATTGAACATAGTTTGGACAATCATTTATAAAAGCAACAAAATTCACAATGAAAGGGTAAAAAAAATAGGGATGTCTTACAACGATTAATAGATGTTACTTGTTTCCTGGGAAAGCATGAACTAAGTTTTAGGGGTCACAATGAAGCAAGTGGATTTGCCAATCGAGAAAATTACATGGACCTTTTAAGTTTTTTAGCAAAATACGGTGATACCCTAAAAAACAAATTTATTGATTCGATGACTTTCCGAGGTACGTCAAACAGAATCCAAAATTATTCAATTAAATGTATGCCGACGTTGTGATGGATCACATTAAAAGTGAAATTAAAAAAGCACCTTTCGTATTAATTGCGCTTGATGAAAACACAGATGTAGCAAACTTAAGTCAATTATCCATTGTTGTGCGATATGTATTGGATGGCATTCCTCAAGAGCGATTCTTAGGATTTTTGGACGTCACTAGCGAACGAACTGCAGATGCATTATTTAAAATTATATGTGACATTATTTCAAGATTAGAATGTGGTTCAAATATCCGTAGCATAAAGGAAAAAAAAGCAAGATTTTGACAAAATCATGAATGCGCCGCGAAAAATTTTCGCCTGCGCGGTGCTTACTGGCCTGCTGTATTTTTATACAATCGCTTCCCCTTCCAAAAATGTCACCGCACGCCACTGGATTAATTGCGTCAACGTTGAATAAAATAAACATTATTGTTATTTTATCGCTGATTGATTGATGGAAAACATACAGTACAATATCATACTTGTACCAACGTTAGGAAACAGTTAAATAAAAGGACACAGGTCCTAGGAATACAGATCGTTGTTTTGAATCTTTTCTGTAGGTCTCTCTTGGGTTTCTCCACAGTTAACAAATATGACAACATCATGTGAAATTAATTGATTTTAATTTAAAATTAAACATGATTAATTTAATGTTTACTTAGTAATTCGGTGGAAGACTTAAATAATTTAGATTAATGAAGTAAGCAGCTTGATTACAATAATAATATTCATCCATGTCCAATGCCGTCATGCGGAAGCACTAAGGGTCCTGGGGTCGAACTAGGATGACAGTAAAGGGATCCAAAGTCCAAAAAGTAAAAAAAAATGTATTCCGATGGCAATCTTTAAACTTTGAATTTCAGGAATGACTTAATAAAATGGAAAAGTGAGGGGCAATATTTAAGGACAATGATCGTTGGGCATTTGCAGAGAAGAGGGGAACAAAACACCACTAGAGAAGCAGTCGAGTTGTAGTTAGAGAGTAGAAGAAAGGAAAGCGCAAATGTCGAGATGTTGATTTTGTTTCTTCTTGTAAATACAAAGACATAGAAACACAATAAAAACTTAATTTATTTTTGTTTGTATTTCTAGTACACTGATTTCAAATGGATGGTGGAAATTTTTATATAAATATCGGGATTAGTTTGATTAGATGTAACAAATTAAATAAAACAGAGAGTCTAACTTCTCAAATATAGTCATCATCAATGGGGTAAATCAGTTTAATATTATTTTTTTTTTTTGAAGTATGAAATTCTTAGTTACTTTATTGCTTCCTTTTCGTCACAAGCCGGTACTGCTTGAACTGCATTAAATAGTTTGCAGAGTTACACCTGCCCGATTTTCCCACGAGAGATCGCGCAGTTGGCGGCGCCTCGCGCAAAACAACTGAGAATCGGCCGCATATTAATGAGGCCACTACGATTAAGAATGGCAATTTGTTAATTAATACGAATTTTATGCGTTTGCTATTGAAGGATTTATCGGCCGTTGCACAGCGTTGGTAAAGAGCTTAATAATACGTTTATCTCCTGTATTTATTGGCTAGCAAGTGGATAATTCGTGTTCGATAAGTAGATTCTTAATAAACTTGCCACTGGTTTGTTGTTTGTATGCCTCTCGATAGAAAATGATACCGGACATTGTGGTGGATGAGCCCAAAAGATGTGTTGCGAATTTGGGAAAGGGATTTAAATTTAAAATTTGTAAAATTAATTTAATGTATAATAATACCTTCGTTAGCGGAAATAATCCTGAAACAAATTATATAGTAAGGATTTAGCATGCGCAGTAACTAAATAGTGTTCCCATACAAAAAAAACTAAACTATTGGTTCTATCCTGTGTTCGCAGTAAAATTATTTTTGGTTCTGGACCGCAAAGTATGCCATTGCGTTCAACAGAACAAATATAATTCACATTCATTCTACCCAGTAAGAACACTGCAAAAAAATGGAACCACAGTTCAATTTTGGTCGCCCAGCTACTATTATTTTTTAAATTTTATCAATTCTGTCAGATTAATTGTCAGTATATTTTTTAGTTATTAAGATTAAATATATACGTAAAAATAACTTATTTTTGTGTAGAATCCATATATAATAGCATTTCCAAAGACATTACAACTAAGAGACCAAATTGTTTACATTTTTATGTGGCAAATCATTAATCTCACTAGATTCTCGTTTATTGCGTCTTTGCCGGTTTTATCAGTCTGTAAAAATTATTTGGAGAAATTACGTTCGAAAAATAAAATTTTATGTATTCTATAACTATAATTTTATATTATATAAATAAAAATATGTTTTTAATCAAATTATACTTTAAAGTTTTAACATAAGCTAAATTTTTTATTAAAAATCAATATTAATCTAAACAAAATATTAGGGTTACAAAGAACTCGGTAAATACGGCAACGCTGAATATCTTATTTTGCGAATTTACAACTAGTACCTATTTTTATGAATGAAATGTATTTACCGGTACCAGCCGCAGCGTTGCCAATCGGGTCTAACAGCTTGTTTGTGTTTCTGACAGTTTCTGTGTGACTTATTGATTTATTCATTTTTAAAATACTATTTTTGTGAACTTTTGTGAGAAATATAAAGAATTATGGTACTTGCATGTGTAGTGTTCAATAAGGTAGATCATTTAAATCGAAATTTATCCTTTCATCAGTAAGTATTTTTAGGTTAAGATATGTTGTTTTCATTTAAAGCAGTGGAGTAGGGCACCCGTCTTAAGACTGTTTTGACTATACAATTTCTTGTACAAGATTTGATACAATTATAGAATTTAGATTGTATAGTAAATTGTTTGAAAAATGATTATCCAGTCTAATTTTTGATACAATTTACTGCAGGTTTGATAATATACAATTTTAATTGTACAAGAAATTGTATCAAAAACTTTTGTAGTATAAAATAGTCTTAAAACAGTTTTTAAAGTCATATTTACGAAAGCTTCCTGGGGCCACTTTTTTATAAAAAAAAATATTATTATCTCGCAATTGTGACTTATTATCTCACAATTGCGACATATTATCTCGCAATTGTGAGTTATTATCACGCAATTGTTACTTATTATCACGCAATTGTGACTTACTATCTCGCAATTGTGACTTAATATCTCGCAATTGCGACTTATTATTACGCAATTGTTACTTATTATCACGCAATTGTGACTTACTATCTCGCAATTGCGACTTATTATCACGCAATTGTGACTTATTATCACGCAATTGTGACTTACTATCTCGCAATTGCGACTTATTATCACGCAATTGTGACTTATTATCACGCAATTGTGACTTACTATCTCGCAATTGTGACTTACTATCTCGCAATTGCGACTTATTATCACGCAATTGTGACTTATTATCACGCAATTGTGACTTACTATCTCGCAATTGCGACTTATCACGCAATTGTGACTTATTATCATGCAATTGTGACTTACTACCTCGTAATTGCATTTTATTATCACGCAATTGTGACTTATTATCACGCAATTGTGACTTACTATCTCGCAATTGCGACTTATTATCACGCAATTGTGACTTACTATCTCACAATTGCGACATATTATCTCGCAATTGTGAGTTATTATCACGCAATTGTTACTTATTATCACGCAATTGTGACTCACTATCTCACAATTGCGACTTATTTTCACGCAATTGTGACTTAATATCACGCAATTGTGACTTACTATCTCGCTATTGCGACTTATTATCACTCAATTGTGACTTATTATCACGCAATTGTGACTGTCTCGCAATTGCGACTTATTATCACGCAATTGTGACTTAATATCACGCAATTGTGACTTACTATCTCGCAATTGCGACTTATTATCACGCAATTGTGACTTACTATCTCGCAATTGCGACTTATTATCACGCAATTGTGACTTATTATCACGCAATTGTGACTTACTATCTCGCAATTGCGACTTATTATCACACAATTGTGACTTATTATCATGCAATTGTGACTTACTATCTCGTAATTGCAACTTATTATCACGCAATTGTGACTTATTATCACGCAATTGTGACTTACTATCTCGCAATTGCGACTTATTATCACGCAATTGTGACTTACTATCTCACAATTGCGACATATTATCTCGCAATTGTGAGTTATTATCACGCAATTGTTACTTATTATCACGCAATTGTGACTTACTATCTCGCAATTGCGACTTATTTTCACGCAATTGTGACTTAATATCACGCAATTGTGACTTACTATCTCGCTATTGCGACTTATTATCACTCAATTGTGACTGTCTCGCAATTGCGACTTATTATCACGCAATTGTGACTTAATATCACGCAATTGTGACTTACTATCTCGCAATTGCGACTTATTATCACGCAATTGTGACTTACTATCTCGCAATTGCGACTTATTTTCACGCAATTGTAACTTATTATCAAGCAATTGTGGCTTACTATCTCGCAATTTTAGAAACATAAATGACATTTTGTGTCTAACTAATACACTTACAAAAGAAATGATAAATACAATTGAATATTTGAAGGAGTATCTACCAGAATGTAACGACGATATTTAATTCTATTTTAAATGCCAACTTTTGCAATGTTGAAATTGCTTGGTTTCTGAATGTAATAATACAAAATTATGTTTTATTTTTGCGAAGGAAATATTCTTTTATTTGTTCTTTTCTCTTTAATGTGATGTTTCTATTTTTGTTTATTTTATAATTTGGTGTATGTACTACTAAAATTAGTATTTGTTACCATTTATTTTTATATGACAGGAGATTAAAAATACTGAGATTAAAACTATTATACTTCGGTAGGATCAATTAATTGTTCAACAGTAACCAATCCCCTTAATCAACCAAATTAAAAATACTACAGTTTGAGGCGTACCTAAGTGTCATTGCCAGTATTTCTCGTTAGTATCTTGTTTCTATTTGGCCTAAACATTTATTTCGTTTTACCATTTAAGACTGTTTTTTTTTTAGTGATAACTTGCACGGTTTCAATACTAGTATTTTATTAAGTTATCTGTTTCACTTTTTAATAAACTATTTGCACTGAATGTTGATATGTATTTAAATGTTGTTTCAAATCGTACATCACTGTGTACATAGATGTGGTTGACTGTATAACAGCAGTGCTTCACAGTGAACCAAGTTGCATTTTGTTAAAATTGCTATGATTTCAACAATTTTATTTTTACAACTATAGTGGTCCTTATAAATGAAATAATATAAGATATTCTTTATTTATATACGACATATTTTTAGAAATTTAACTTCAATAGGAAATATACAACAGTATTCAAAAATTTGGATGGTTTTCTTTTGAACAACTGCCTACATAATGTTTGTTTTTTATAAATTTTAAAACTACCTAGGTAAGTTAAAAAATTATCATTAAAAAAAACCAAAGTAGTTATGTGTATTACTTTATTGCATCCTAATACGTTCATCCAATATTGCGAACAGTGTTTCCTTAGTATACCCCACCAAAACTCGCTGCGTTGATTACACTGACTGGTTCCATAGATGAAACTGTTATCATCTAAAAATTGATCTTCATTTTTAACAGCAGTTCCTCTCAAAAATGTTTGCATTTGTTCTACAGTTCCATTTTCAGGACCCATATCGGATCTAATTTTTCTTGGACACCCACCATATTTTTCAATATTCTTAAGAAAAAACCCGAAAACAAAAATTGCATCCAGTAATTACTGAAAAATATATACCATTTTTCCTAGTGTTCCTTTTTACCCACCTGCAATTATTTTTGGATCATTCATGTTCGAAGATGCTTTCAACCAAATGATAAACCTCGAGTATCCATCAATAGCGCCATTTATTCATATACCATATGGTTTTAGTTTATCATATGAGTCAAGATGCCATAAAAAAATAGGACCAGTATTATTATATTGCCTTCTATGCAGTCTTCGTCTTGTTCTTAGTTCTACTCCAGAAGGATCTAAGTTCTGTAATATTAAACGAACCATATTCTGCGAAACAGAGAAACCATTTTGAATGCATTTCAAATGCATCCATCTATAGCCATGGAGTTGGGAAGAATTTTGTAACTGATGTTCTATAAAATTTACCAAAATATCAGCTCCACTGAAATATTTTTTTCTAAACAACTTGTTTTTGTTTAAAATCCTCTTTAGTTGTCGTTTTGATATATTTGTTGAAAATCTCTCTTTCAGTATGTTTCGAATTTCACTATAATTACATCCATTTAAAAAAATAGTGCATAATAAGATTATTTCTTGATCTTAAATCCATCGTCTAGTATTGCAAATATCTTAAAAGATGGTGAAAATTGTAAAACAACTTATTAAATTATACATATGTTTAAACTCAAAACTCACCTGAAGCTATTACAAGCTTAAGAATGGAGAATCACTTCACTGTTATTTCACGAAACATTGACCAAAGCTCACCATTTTAAGCAGACATGTAACGGCAAAATAACTCACAATTGCGTCATAATAAGTTGCAATTGCGTGATAATAAGTCACAATTGCGTGATAATAAGTCGCAATTGCGAGATAGTAAGTCACAATTGAGTGATAATAAGTCACAATTGCGTGATAATAAGTCGCAATTGTGAGATAATAAGTCACAATTGCGAGATAATAATATTTTTTTTTCATAAAAAAAGTGGCCCCAGGAAGCTTTCGTACATATTCCTTTTATAAATTAGTAACTTATTCTTATACCAATAAATAATTATTGAATAGTGGCAAAGAAAATTTAACGTAAAATGTAGAATACCTTAAAAATGATTTACCTATTAGGCACCTATACATATTTTTTAATATTCTATTTAAGTTTTCGCAAGATCCTGAAAAAAGAAAACTTTGGTTTTCTCTAGTAGGTCTCCTTGAAAATCAGCCCCTTCGTAAAAACCCAGAGTTGTGTTTAGAATACTTTTTTCCCGAAGATGTTTTAGTACGTGCAAATGATGCTAAATATAGCAGAAAACATGCAAACCCCAGACGGTGTGAGGGCTTTTTATTTTTGGATGACTTATCCAAGAGGTAAAAATACAAAATATTAATTTTTACTTCTAAACATTATTTATTATCTATATGTATGTATATCTAATGTATGGGTTTTTAGTTCTGGTTAAACTGTTTTTAGAACACCACCTGCTGCAAAAAAACATTGCAGTAAGTAATAACACTAATAACTAAGCATAAATTAAATGAAATTTTAGTTAATAAAATTACGCGCTATTTTGTTCTTGCGCTATTTTGTCCTTGCACTGTTTCGTCCTCCTCTATTTTGTCTGCACTATTTTTTCTTGCACCATTTTGTCCTGCCCTATTTTGCCCTACGCTGGTTTGTCATGGAGCGACATTAAACAATGTTAAATCTTACCATAATAATTGTGACAAAAATAAACATAAAACATTATTTCCTTTATCGCAACACTAAATCCATTTATTTTCTACAAAATCCCTTTGATCGACATGATTAACACACTAATCATAGGCGCCGGAACTCAAAAATTGCTTTGGTTGCCCGGCTTCATTGCGAGAAATGGGGGCTCCCCCCCCCTCCACACCCTACTTAGGGTCCCCACCAAGCCATTTTAAAGCGTTCATTTTATGAAAATATTCTTGGAAAAAATATATTGTTAAATGTCAAATTGTTGGAGTTTTGAGGATTGAAGCGGCAGACGGGACTTCCAATGAAATAAAAAGAAACACAATATCAAACATTTATTAACTATCATGAATTTAGAAGGAGATTTTTAATGATTTATTAATACACATATAATGGGGTATTGTACCTATACAAGGTGGATATGCGAAAACAAACATCTCAGGTCATTTACGAAAAAACGCTCGGAACCGTCAATTTTTGATTTTAGGGGAAACATTTTTTTGCCAGTTTCACCCCCTGAATGGAAACCCACTAGCCGAGGTGAAACTTGCCCCTAAAATCTTAAATGGAAAGAGGGGTTGAATGATATCTTATTTTGAAGGTATTTTTAACTAGATTATAACCCCCCAGTTTTAAATAACTACTGTCTTCCTAGCCATGATCTTTTAACGATTTTTACTTTGTTTAAATGCTTACCAGCGCCCCGTCTTGCTGGATTATTAAGTTATTTGCTAGGTACTGATCGTCATCCTCAATCAACGCTAGTAATGCTGGATAAATGGCGTTTTATAATAATATTTCTGTGGTTAATGTTCCAGGTAAAAAAGGGGTCAGTTATATGGTTACAAAAAATGCCAGTCCAAACATTCAGTTTTTCTGGATGTTGCGTATGCAATTTATGAAATATTCTGGGATTTGAATCAGACCAATAACGACAGTTGTGACGATTTACCGTACCATTTAAGAAAAAATGTATTCGTCAGAAAAACACACGTTGAAAAAAAATTGCTGATTATTTATTGCCCGTTCAGTCATAATTTCACAAAATTGTAATCGCCTATCAATATCATCTTCGTTAAGTTCTTGTACCAGATATATTTTGTATTGATGAAACTTGTGTACTTTCAATATCTTCTGAATGCTACTTCTCTTAATACCAGATGTTATCGCCAACTGTCTTTGTACTCAATTTGGGTTCTTGAACAACATGCTCTAAAATCGTCACTTCTGTAGCTTTATTTACTGCAGCATTATCCATTTCACGTTTTTTGTTAGCTACTGACCCCATTTCCCAAAATTTTTGGACTAACTCCAAAATATACTTTCGATAGACTTGTCAATTTTGATGTTGATTGGTAAACAGTTGGGCCGTTCTATTAGCACTACTTTACGGCGACCAAAGAATATTATCTGATAACAATAATTGAAGGCCATAGAAATAAAACTAGAATTGTAACAAAAAATTTCTTTTTAATAACAATGTAAAAATTCTGTTAAACCGGTTTTGTACTTTTGGTGAGCCACTGGATGGGCTACGTAGGGGGTTATAATCTAGGTAGAAATAACTTTAAAATAAGATATTATTCGACCTCTGTTTGATTTAGAACTTTAGGGGTGAGTCTCACCCCCTTTAGAGGGATCCCGTTCGTCGGTGAAAATGGCAAGAAAATGTTTCCACCTAAAATAAAAAATTGACGGTTCCAAGCGTTTTTTAGTAAATGACTTGGGTTACTCGCGAGCACTACTAGAGAGCTGTTTCTGACTCTAAATGATCTGTAGCAACTTCCACATGTTATCCCTTCTCTCCTCAAGCATTTGCTTGATAGCATAATAATATGTACATATGTACAGAGCTCTTGTCTTGATAATTTTAGACTGTTATTAGTCGTTCTTTTTTGACGTCATAGGGTTATATACACCAAGAATAATAAACTCTTAAGTCCAAGTTCAACGCATTGTCAATGATAAGTGACGGCGACTTTTTTATCACAAAAATATAGATCTGAACGATAATATTTTCAGAAATTGTTTTTTAAAATGGGTTCAGAGTGCGGTAAAGAATGGTGGAAAGTCTATAGTTTGTTTTACTTTTATTGACTATTATTTTAATAAGCGATATTTAACAAATATTTAGAAGTTATGGACTTTCCACCATTTTTAATAGTATTTAAAAGCCAAAACGCAACTGTGCTAATTCGAGACATACGTTTTATTAAACTCATCGTGTTACGAATTTCTGATATTAGAAATTTAAAGTGGGTATTACTTCGAACAAAAAATCGTTTCCAACCTAAGAAAAAAGTTGAGTTGGGTCTTAAAAAGAAAGCTTTAATATTTTGCATGAGTATTAGGATTATCGCAACCTGCAACGTCAAATCTTAACTCTGACAGCCAATGAAAAATTGATGCCGTAATAAGGCATCCTGTCGCTCTACCAACTTGGGCCACGACAGCTTCTTTATTTCACTTATTGGCACTTTTTGTCAACGTTGTGCTATGGGTGCTCCGCACCTAGTTTAAAACTGCTCTGGGTGCTTGCGCACCCAGAGCCCCGAGGAATCGGCGCCTATGACACTAATAACTATAAAAAAAAGCAGAATTACAAACTAAATCAGATAGTTTGTTTTCTATGAAACCTGCAAAACAAAAAACTTTATAATAATAATAATAATAATGTTTTTATTGGCTCAAATTATACATTTTTTATAATTTTGGACAAAATAAAATTATAGCCAAAAGGCAGAGTTCAGTTTCTATTATGCCGGAGCAATACTAGAACCTGTTCTTCCACTCAACCGGTAAAACTAAAACTAACTAGAATATTTCAAAACAAGTAAAAATACCAAAAAGTAAATAATATTAAGGAGGTCCTTTCGCCACCAATGTAAATAAAAAATATTAGATTATAACTAAAATTAATTTTTTTCTAATAGTTGAAGTCCTTATTTATCTATTAGTGAACTTTTAACTATACCTTACCGTGCAAATTTTTGAGAATTTTTTTTTTAAATGTGAGTATTTGTACAGTGTCTTACGAGAAAGTAAGACCTCAACAACAATTCTCGAATTATACTATTATTTATTGATTAGATGGAGTAGAAAAAAACTAAAAATAAGCTTTTTGAAATATTTAGGTTTTGTTTTTTACAATAAAATATATAGGTTACCGTGGAATTTATTGAGAAATTAATATTAAAAAATCACAAAAAAATTTCAACTAGGTTACTTGAATTTTTTTTAAATATTAATTTCTCAATAAATTCCACGGTAACCTATATATTTTATTGTAAAAAACAAAACCTAAATATTTCACGAACCTTATTTTTAGTTTTTTTTCTACTCC